CCGTCATATGCGACCGATGCGACTGATGTGACCTATCGGTCGTATACGACGGATGCGACGGATGCGACGGATGCGACCGATCTTTGCCTAACTGGGATATGACCCCCAAAGCGGTCAGTGTCCATCCGGGTCCCACAACGTAAGGAATCGCTCATAACCACGACAGATACGTACCTGCGACAATCGGGGCATTCACTATGAAAATTAAGCTTAAATTAATGATGTGAGCAATAAGATTAAAGTTTTGTATATATAAACGTTTCTTCTGTCTAATTTTTTCTCCTTTGTTGCTTTTTTTTTTTTATTTAACAAAAAGTGACAACTCTTTTTGATTACTCCTGGTAAGTTCATTAAAAAAAACAAATACTGCAAACTATCGAGCGACGAGATGAATAATTTACATGAACAAGTTATTCAGCGCTATTGCATTTTAGATTAAACATTCAGAAAAATTGCATTGGAATTGTCAGAAATATTGAAAAAATTCAAAATTTTCCTAATCAAATGTTTGATTTGAATGATTCTTTAAAACTATAATTATATTTACGCAAAAGTTTTGATAACAAATCTAATGTTCAAACGTTATTCTCTATGCGATTAGCTAATAAACTTGACGATATTCATTTACTATAATGAATCAAAATAAGAATTGAAATTGGTACTTAATTCACACTTGAGCGATTCATTAATATTTTATCAAATGTCGTAATCATTACGTTTAGTTCGTTGACATTCGAGCGTTGCATGAAATGAGCGATACCGAATTTTAGATAATTTTCAAATATAAAAATAAAAAAGACATTTTATGCCAACCGATATCGATATAAAATTTGTAACAAGTTTTAAAGTTCATACTTGACAATGCCAATATTGATTAACGTTAATTTGTCTTTTTATATGTAGTGAACATTAAAAACCACATAGCCTACTTTGAAAACCAGACAATATACCGGGCGATGGACCGGTTTATAGACCGGTCCTGGATCACGATTAAGTCCACAGTCCTCTGCTAAGACCGGTCTTTAGGACCAAGACCGGACCATAACATCCCTAATTCGTAGTCATAAGTTTGTTAGGTTAGGTTTAGAATATTGTTATTGAGTTGAGTTTAGAGAGCCATGTTTATACTAAAATTTTGCATGGAAACCTTTTTAGTAGTATGCAAAAGGCAGTTGCGTTGGCTAAATTTAGAGTTATAGACGATTTTTGAGTTATTGTTGTTCTTTGAACTTTTTTTTAACGAAATTTTTTAGACTGTACTGTTATGTCGATAAAGAAGATAAATTACGCGTTGCTATGTTTGTAGATTTTCCCAAGCTTTATCAGATCAGATATTATCATGTAAATCACATAAGTTAGATGCCATATTTATGAATTATGTAACACGTTTAATATAAATATTGTACATTGGAATGAAATTATTGTAGATTTAGAATGCCTCTAATTTAATTCCAAGAAAACATAGGTTAAATAGAATTCTGAAAAAAATGTGCCTGAGTAGTTAAATAATTTCAATCTAACTTACAGTAATATTAAGTGTATTCCAAATGAACTTTTTGAGTAATTCTAATAATCCAATTTCATATTTTTAATTTTAAAATCTTGCAGAGAAATGTCATGTCTTTAGATCGTTGTGCTTATATTTACTGGATCATGTAAAATCTTAACACAAAAAAATTAAAGTCTTCACAATTTTAAGTCGACTATTAGCCAATTTGTTACTAAAATATTTAGAACGAAATTGTTCTAATTCATTATGAGGCAAAGCTGAATAATCTTGAAATTCGGTTAACGGATAACGAGGTTTGTAAAGATTAAAATAGTGAAATAAGAGAGTGACAACATATAATGATGATATTATATAGTATCATTAATCGATTATATTTACTACATCAAATTTAAAACCAACTTAAGCTTTATATCAAATTTAGAATCAACTTAAGTTACTTTTAAATTTCGTATCAACTTGGGCTACATTCGGAATGCCATTTCGATTTAAGTGGATTCTAAACCCATTCCGATGTACAACATTAATAATACGGTAATCATTTCGTGTACTTTATTGTAAAGTCCGATACTTACAAGTCTTCCCTGTACAGCACAACAGGAGGGAACGTACCCGATCCAAAGTGAATCCCACACACGGTGTGGTCAATTAAAACTAAAATAAATAATTTTAGTTTTAATTGATCACACCGTGTGTAGGATTCACTTTACGTTCCCTCATGTTGTACAGTACTCATGAATTAGCAATGAATATATACAATATTTACCTGATCTTAGTTTCGCACTTGTACTTCCAATGTGGTTATTTAGATAATTTTAAGACTTATTTACATCATTAGTTACTTCTTATACTAAGAAATGAGGTTGCTTTTTATTAAATGTAAAAAATTGTGAAATGCAAAGTTGCTTTCCTTTGGTGTCTTTTTTATTTTCAATTTAAACAAGGAATAATTTTCTAACTCTTTGAGTATATCTTTAAATAACAACACTATTCCATGTAACAATTTTTGTTAAAGGTAAAAAATATGAATTTTTTTTTAGATTGCTTTGTGAAGACATATCGTTTACAATCTGCTTTCATCTGCTTTCTTTTTTTTTAATATTAAGGTGAGGCCATACAGGAAAAAAAACGTATATTTGAAAACAATATGCTTTTATTTAATATAGAAATATTTATATAGAAATAATGTACGAATACATAAAAGTAAAGATAAAAATAGAAAAATATTTAAAGAAGCATATAATACCTATTTCAAAAAATGAAAATAATACTATACAATAAAAAATTTGTCAAAATTACCTAATCTATTTCTTTTAAAGGATATGGATTTCTCAAAAGATCAGCTCTTAATACATCATTAGGAAGAATAGAACTAATATATTTAAAGAGTTTTCCTGTTATGCAGGCCTTGTGTAAACTATGTGCATCAAATTGAGGAGTAAGGAACAATTTTTTATACATATTTTTAAGCTGTTTTTCCTCATCTTTTGTGCGGCAATTGAAAAAACCATAATCAACCCTCACTGAAGGTATCAAACCCACGGCTTCACTTAGAATATATTGCTCGAGATTATAGACACTCTTATTTGGTTGGTTATATCCAATTGTCTCTATCTTACTTGCTGATAACCAACTAGTGTTATCACATTTTTTCTTTAACAAATCTAGTACTGTTCCAGATACGTAGGCATCAGTAAACTCATCGACCATGCAACCTTTTTGAACTATAAGCTCCCAATACAAGTTTTTCAATCGAGCTTCTTCTGACAAATCGTTATTTCCAGCTATAGGTCTTACGTGCTCATAAATACCTTCTTTATAGGAATTATCATAATTGTATTTACCATGTATTCTACAAGAACAAAACCCAAAGTCAATCCAAAGCTTTTGTTCAATCCTTGGAAGATACCCTGTAAGTATGGTTAAGTAGAAAGTACAAATATAATTTTTTGGTTCTGGAAGAGATTTAAAAAGAATTGTTTGATCATGTTTGGAAAGATACGGTTTGATAAGTGAGTGAAACTTATTCGAAAGATTATCTGCTATTTGATTATCGGATTTTATACCCTCGTATTTACGCAAACCTTGTAATAAGTGTTCATTTTTTAAAAACCATTTATAGTATCCGCTGGTATAGCCACCATCATCATATACTTTTTTAATGTTAATTAGTAGCTCACCATTTTCCCACCATGAATGTAATTGAGAGGCGCTACAATCTATAAGTTTTATAAAATCAGCGTACAAGCCAAAAAGCATTATTCGATCTTGACAGATAACGCAGTTGTAAAATCCATATTCATATAATACTGCATTTTTCGTAGGTATGAGATCACGAAAAACACTTTTAACAAGAATGTCTGCTGATCTTTGAGGACAGACCAGAACATGATTTGCATAATCTTTCTTTTGACATGATTTACTGCAATAATATTTAATTTTACATCTCGAACAACAATAACTTGTTGGTTTTTTGCAAAAATTACATTTCATTTTCCCAGAATTACGTAGATTTGAAAGAAAATTTGTTTTTTTAATACATAAGAATGTAGGTGGCTGTCAATGGAGAACGGCCCAGCATATTGTAGATCATTTTTCTTTTAGATATATTTCAATATGTAAATGTTACGGGTCACGTAGTGCGTACGTGCGGTGCGGGAAATCTAAAAATTTAATCACCGATATAGAATTTAAATTTGTCATTCTCAATAACGACTGACTTAAATTTCAGCTGCATATGCATAAAATAACTACTATTTTGTACATATTATTCTTAGCGTATTGTTTTTATGCGAAATTCTTGGCTCTTCACTTGACATTTAAGAAATTTATATATTAAAACATAATTCAGGTACAAGATCAATTTCTTTACGATAACTGACTAAAGAAGTTTATTAAATTCACTGGGAAAATTAGTAATCAAATGCCAAATATAATATTTTGTCTCTTTAAAATGAAATATTCTAATACCCTGCGATAATCGGGGCATTCATTATGAAAATTAAGCTCAAATAAAAGTTAAATAAATGATGTAAGCAATAAGATTAAAGTTTCGTAATATAAACTTCTTTTCTGTCTAATTTTTTTCTCCTTTGCACCTGCTTTATTTTTACTTAACAAAAAGTGACAACATTTTTTTTGACGACTCTTAGTAAGTACGTTAAAAAAACAAATACTGCAAACTATCGAGTGACGAGATGAATAATTTACATAACAAGTTCTACTTAGGGTTATTGCATTTTAGATCATAGCGCTCAGAACAATTGCCTTGACGATACTCATTTACTATAATTAATACTGAGCGATTCATTAATATTTTACCAAATGTAGTTATCACTACGTTTAGTTCGTTGATATTCGGGTGTTGCATGATAAGGTTATTAATAAGGTTATTTATGCGATCTCTTTGAAATCTCTATCAATTGTGGTCTATCGTAAAATGTTTATAAATTGAAACGTATTAATGAAGATATATTGATTACGTAATAAACTTCGATGTCTATTTAAATATTCATTACGATGTTAAACACATTTGACCTTAAAATATTTTCCGCCAAGTAAAATCTATTCTCCGACACTTTTTGTCCTGTTGATTAATGACAGAATAGCATGTGCAAGCTGCACTCAGAAAATGTGTCAGGGTTAAGAATTAGGTAATTAACCATCGAAAACTTTTGGCTTTTTGTTAGAGCACAAAAGGTGATTTCTTGAGTTATGAGCGAGATATAATGCTATAAGATTTTAACGCACATAAGTTGCTTGATCAAAATAAAACTGTGAATTACTTGAAATGTTGAATAAAGAATTACCAGATAACTATTGGTTATTAATAAATTGCATGATATAGGTCGCATGATCTGCATTACGATCATTTCACGATCTGTGAAATTTGAGAAATGACGTAAATTCTAAAATGACGCGGAAAATGTTAACCTTAATAATGGATGCGAAAGTGTAATGAATACTAAGGAAAATCGTTACATAAATGTGTAATAAATTCATAGGCAGAAGTTTGTCTGGCTAATAAATTCAATTTAATTTACATTATTTATACAATTTAGAGTACTTTTTAAAAAAACGAACCTAATCATATTGAAATAAAAAAAAAACTATATATAAGGTTCATTACAGCTGTAGGACTCAATAGCCAAAAATAAGATCTAATTCTCGTCCGTTTAAAAAAGTTTGTATAGTAATAACTTTCCAAAACCCGATAAAATCAACTTATTACTAAGCGAACTTTTTTAAGCGGACGGGAATTAGATCTTATTTTTGACTATGGAGTCCTACAACTCTGATGAAACCATCTATAGATTTTTTTACTTTATTATGGTTAGTTTTCGGTTTTTTTAAAAAGTACTCTAAAATGTATAAATAACGATAATGTAAAATTTAATTGAATCTATTAGCCAATCAGACGAACTTCTGCCTATGAGTAATAAATGGTAGATTGATCATTTACATCTAGGGATGGGTCCGGTCGATCACGGTCTGTTATTATCGGTTACCGGCTGATAACCGGTCGCTTGCGGTCGGTCACACGGTCAAATAACCGGTCAAATAACCGGCTAATAACCGATCAATTATCGTTTTTTTAATCGATCAAATTCGATAATTTTTTTTATTAGAACTCTTAAAGTCAATAGAATTCAAATAAAAAAATTCATTGAATTTGGTCATGTGGTTATCGAGATACCTTCAATCAAAGTTAGTGAAAATTTTGCCACGGCCATTCCAAATACTTAGAAAAACCACAATTATCATACTTTCTGGCTGTAATAAATTTTACGTTTGTTGAGTTATACGAAATAAATAAAATAATTAATTTATTATAGTTTTTATTTTGTTAGTTTAAATTTTTTTTATTTGTATTTTGATATATTTATCACGTGATGTTCGGAACTTTTTTGCGTGGCTATTTTACCGGTCAACCGATCGGCTAAGCTGCTCTGACCAGTCATTATCGGTTACGGTTAATGACCGCGGCTAAACGGTTATGACCGTAACCGGACCCATCCCTATTTACATCACACTTTATATAATCACATTAACAACATTCGTGTAATATCATATCGTTAGGGTTTGTACTACGCGCATAATACGTATGATTGTACTACATAATTTGATTATATAAAGTGCGATATAAATGTGTTCAAGTGTCCCAAAACTTGGAAATAAAATTCAGTCACCTAAAAAATTGATGATCGACGTTTTAATTCTCGGTTTCACTCTCACAAATTTTCATGGTTGAAATAGGCGTACCCAAGTAAAATAGTAAATAGTAAATCTGTCGTAACACTAGTTGCGGAACCTTCGTAGATTTCTGTAGTTTCGCCTGGCTGAAAGTTCGTCAGGCTGAAACACATACAATAACCAATAGAAATTTAGGGTGTAATGTGTTAATGCTGTAATACCATAACTGTATTTATTTAATAATTGACACACCTTTTTTAACTTCAATGGAAAACGACGACACCTTAATACTAAACTGGACACCGTTTTTCGGTGAACAAACTTGGGAACAATATCGAATAGATTATTGCGGTTCAGATTTACCACCATGTCTTATAACACATAATCGTACCTATTTGACTCAAAGTCATTTGTTAGTGTTTCATGCTCCGGACATGAATTGGGTAGAGTTGCCCGATAAAGAGACCAGAAATGTATATGATAATAAAATACCTTGGGTTTATTATAGTGCAGAGGCACCAGCTCGCGAATGGGAATTTGATGATAATATGATGAGAATGTTTGAATTTAGGTATGCATAAATGTTTGATGTGTATTTTATTAATTAATAGTAAATTCACTTGAATTTTTACACATAATATAGCCTATCATACCGTCTTGATTCTGACTTTCCGGCAACTTATCTGGACGAGGATTTGACAACAATACTTAGATCTCCAATTTATCCATTTAAAGATCGTAAACAAGTTCCAGTAGCGTGGGTTGTTTCAAATTGCCATCCTGTAAATGGTAGACATTATTATGTCAAGGAGCTATTAAAGTACATTGACATAGATATTTATGGTAAATGTATGAACAATCAGGAAGTGCTTGATCGTGAGTATCTTATTATTGTAAATTCAATTATAAAAAAAAACAATTTACTAATAAATTTTTAATAAATAATCTGTTAATAGCGACAATAAATATCTCTGACTTGATTAAGCAATATAAATTTTATCTTGCCTTTGAAAATTCAAACTGCGATTATTATGTGACTGAAAAGTTGTTAAATGCTTTTATAGCAGGTGTTGTTCCTATAGTAGACGGACCATCTGATTATACTCCATTTGCACCTACAAACCATTCATTAATACAAATTGATCAATTTTCATCACCAAGTGAGCTGGCTTCTTATATTCTGTCAGTTTCAGAAAATGAACAAGCATATAGTTCATATTTATCTTACAAAAATAATGACTCAACGTTATCAGAAGAATTTGTTAAATATTGGCAAGGCTACAATCATCAAACCGGTATATTTGGTTATGACTTTAGAGGTGGAAGGTGTAAGCTATGCAAACTTGCGAATCAACTAAGGAACTTTAATAATCATGATAATCAAAGTTCCAACAATTTATTCAAAGATATATTTGGTGATGAAATAAGCCCGAAAAAATTCTTATACGCAGATCGAAGCTGCATATTCGGAAAGCATAATAAATATTGGAATCCACTTTCTATATTTTCTATGCCTGATAGTCAATATGTATATTCTGTCTATTTTATAACACTTATTATTATATTCGGACTTTGTGTATGGGTTTTTAAAAGAATTATTTTCAGGAGAAGGATAGATAAAGAGCCTACCTAGTATCGAGATCAAATTCAGGTTTGTAATACAGTGCTTAAATTTATTTGCCAACATTAAACATTTAATAATTTTAATATGAAATATATTATGACAATGTTTCGATTACTATTTAATAACAGTAATAGGTTGAATTTTTTTCTTTAAACTTTTTAATATTTCTAAGATAGATAGTACACATTTTACACAATCTTGTTCATCCTGTTGAATTATGAACCTTGTTGTTTTATTTCAGAATAATAAAAAATATGTTTGGAATATATATCATATGAAATAAAAGTAGAAAAAAAAGCGTAATATTTGCAAGAAAAAGAAATCAGAAGAGCTTGAATATGTAGTCATAGCATTGAAGAAGTGCAGTACATAATTGATCTCAAGACTGTTGTAGATATTATTTGGATAGTTAACTAATTAGAAAAGCGTGGCGCAAATGAAGCTAATTTTCTTAGAAAAATGAATGCATCGTTTTTCAAAAGTTTATTATCATGTGTACTATTCTTTAAATTTTTTTTAAACTTAATATTAATTTAGATAAAATGAAATTCGCCAAATTCTCTTATTATGGAGATGAGGAAGCTTTTTGAAAACGTTTGACTGTCGGGTCTAATTAATTATATAAAATCAATTTAACAATCGATCTGATAATTCAGACAACAAAATATTTATGAGGATGAGGAATCAAGCACTGAGAATAGTGAATTCGAATCAGAAAAATGCAAGAAAATGATATAAAATTCTTTTTATTTATTAGTTACATTTAAATGAATATACATTATAATATTATTGGACGACATTTGATTATCTTAAAAAGTCTAAAAGTATTAAATCAAAATTCATACTAATTTAAAAAATGGGTGACAATAGGGATTTTGAATGAGCAATAAAATTTTTTTTTACAATATTAAATTTAAATTTGAAGTTTCGAAAAAAAGATAAATAAATAAAAATAAAATTTGATGTAAATATTGTGCAAAGCTAGAAATGAAGTAATTTCTTTTTTGAAAAGTTAAATATCATCTATATGCTTTATACTTATTTATTTAACCACCACATCCCTAAGTAATAATCATTTTGGCTTAATATATTATTTCAAAATTGCCTAAATCTGCAAATTGTTATAATACAATATAATCTCAATATAAAGAAGCTCTAGAGCTGAATTTTTTTCTTAATTATAACAATATTTTGGTCCATTGGAGTTTTTTTTGATATAATGAATTTATATATAATTTTATAAAACATTTAGTTTATATAATGTGTCTTCGATATAATAAATATTATATATAATTTATTAATATCTTGCTTACGTAATGTGCCTTCAATATAAGAATTTAAAAGAATAAAATTATATTATTTGCTTTATACATAATAAATATATAATTTAGATGGTTACTACATAGTTTTATTAGTTTTATTAAAGTTAATATAAAAATCATTTCTATCTTGCTTGAAATATAAATTTTAAGAGACATGTATTTTTTAAATGTCAAATAAATAAATAAAAATTTATTCTATATTGAATACTTAAACATATGATGATAAATAAATAAATATTAAATAATATAATGAGTTTACTAAAACGTATTAGTAGTGTTCAACATTACATCAATTTTAGCCAATAAAATTAATAATCTGCAATGTAATATTAAGATTAAATATAGTTTAGAAATCTTTAATAATTTAAAATTTTATATACTAAATTATTTTTTGTGTTTTAATAAAAAAAATTCTTAACAAAATTTTGTATAAACTATGTTTTTTTTCTATTATCAACTTTAGTTTTAACCTTAAAATTAATTAATTTTTAAATTAGTTTAATTTTTTTATTTATTTGTTTTGATAATAATCTTTATGCTACATAATATATTATTATTAAAAAAGTAAAATAAATAATAATAAATAAAAGTTTAAAATAATAATTAACAAATTATTATTTTAAGTTTTTACTTGATATTACTTATAAAAGTTTTTAAAATTAAATTAAATATTAGATTAGTTTAAAATTGATTAAATCAAATTTATTTTAATTTAAATTTTATTTAATTTTAAAAATTTAAATTTAATTTAAGTTTAAATTTTTAAAATTTTAAAATATTAATTATTAAAAAATAATTTTAATTTACAAAACAGTTTATTAAATTAATTAATTTTATATATTTAAATAAAAATATTTTTTTATTAAAACATTTTTAGTTTTATTTAAGTTAAAGATTTAGTCTTTAAAAATAATGGTTTTATTTAAGTTAATTAAATACATAGAAGATTACAACTAGTTATATATGCACTTTAGTACCTAATTTAAGTAGTTTACCTATATATTATAATACAAATTCTATACTAAATGTTATACTTGCAAGCTGACTACAAGTTTTGCTATTTAAATATAATCCAATTTATATTATAGTAACATCTTTAAAGCTACCTTTATTCAAAATATTCAATGTATTCAAAACCCTTAAAATTACTTTATCCTTAACAGAAAACTTATTAAACCTTTTTATATTTTACATATTGCTAATCTAGTTTTATACAATATGCTAAAGTTAGACTAATACTTGCAATAATGACTATTTTGTTAAACTACTATATTATACTATTTCTATTTTTATAAAGTTTACTAGAATTTTAGTATCTATTTTTCTAATATTTTTTTTATTGTTTCTTACTAACTATTACTTAAGATTAATAAAACTTTTCAAGCTACTAATCCAGATAGTTAAGTAAAGTATTCCTTAGTATTTTTTTTTTTCAGCAAATCAATGGCTTGGTTAGTTATATGTTTTTTTATACATCTTTTTTTAGTTTATATGACTGTTATTTTAAAAATGTTTTATAGATTCTTATTAATTTGACAGTACTGTCAAAGGTTTATACTACCTTTTTACTTAAGAATTTCTGAAAGACTTTTCTTAAAAGACTCAGACATAAATATTGTGAAATATGGATCTCTAAATCCAGAAATAATACAAAAATCAATTACACTTGATGACTGGATAAATTAAAAAAAATCTTTTGCTTAATGCTCTTTAATGCTTAATTATTTTCTAAAATGTATAATAAAAAGTTTTTTTGACTAAATTTAATACCTTATTATTATATATATATGCTTAGCATATAATCATATAAAACATATTAATTGGTATATAGTAGGTATATATGTAATACAAAGTTATTCTATTTAATTGTTTTGTATAATACAAAAGTTGTTACATTAGATATACTTTTGTTCATTAAATATTTTCAGTTTTTTTTTTTAATTAGAGTTATTATTTCTTGTTTTATTCAATTAATCTGTTTTTTGAATATTTTTATCATAAATAAATTTAGTGAAAATGTTAACCTATATTACAAGTACACAAATTATGAAAATAAGCCTAATATATCATTAAGTAGAATTGTAATTTTTATAATTTTAATAATTAATTTAGGCAATCTTCTTTAATTGGACTAATATAATCTAAATAACAATGGTTCAATTTATATATTAATCTATATTATTTATATAATTTCTTTAAAATTTGTTCAGTAAGGTAGTTGTTTTGCTAAATAGCAAACTAATTAAGCTAGTAAACTTTAATATGCTACTAAGCACATTACTTAATTCATTGTATACTTTTAATGTACTACTAAACTATTATTGATTTAGAACACAAAAGAGTAATATGTTGTAGAGTGGCTATGAAAAATTGTGCCTGTATTGAGATCAAATTTCTTGTCAACTCTTCATATTAAAGAAAAGCATATTGTAGAATATGTGCTTATAAAGAACAAACTTTCAAAAAATGTGACTTATAGAGATAAAATGCACTTATAATGTGGCTATATAAATAATAACTAGATTTTGTATAAGTTAGTCATACAAATTTAATTTTTTGGTATTTATAAAACTTAATATAGAAATATAATTATGCAAAAAATAGAGGTACTACACACATATATTATCAGCATAGTGTTTTTTTGCATATTTTTTTAAAAGGTTTTGACAATAGTTAATGCTATAGCATTTTAATTTCATAAAGTAAAGTTAAAGTCAGAAAAAGATATTGTAGTTTGAAAATAAAGTGTGATCCAATAATAAATCACATGAAGATTTAAATGTTTTGTAAATAGTTTATTAAAGCTGTTGGTCTTTAACAAGGTATAAATTTAACTATGCAACTGCTTTCAAATAATTTTAATTGTTTTTTTAGGCTAGTACTAGACAAGTTATCAAGAAACACAAGCTATTATAGGTTAAGAAAAACATATTAAAAATACAATAATGCAATCTATCTTGTATTTAGCTTACCAAAGTAAATCCTTATTCTTTAAAATAAAACTGATGTTATTTTTAATTCTTGGTTATTATTCAAACTATTTGAAACAGCCAACCAATATAATAATTATTACTACATAGTTTTGATCATAAGAAATTAAGTAATTAAAACCAATGTGATGCTAATTATCACATGATTGAGGCATCTTAAATGGTTTGTGTAGCATAATATTCAGGCTAAAGCTTTCAATATTTTTACCAATACTATCACAATAATCTACTATTTTGGTTAAATATAGTTTTTTGATTCCAGATAAAGATCTACTTTTTTTTTAACATTCTAAAATCTTATAAATATGTACAAACATATTCAATTAGTAATAGTAAGATTATTCTATGTTTATAACTACAATGCTGGCTGTTTTCTTGATAAGTTTAATTATTAGAATTCTAAATTCCTTTTCTGTTAATAATCGATTTACAAAAACTTTTTTACATAGGAATCAGTAGCCCTAGGAGTACTTATAAAAATTAAAACATTTTGTTAGTATTATGACAAATCAATCAGACTAAAGACTAAAATATTGAAAATTTATTGTCTTGTCTTGTTTTGGTGTTTTTGGTAAAGTGTAAGTTTATATTTATTATCTATTTATATAGAATTTTATAAATTTCAAGTAATGACAGAATTCTAAATAAACCTGCTTGATTTTTACTTATAAGTGCTTTAATCAATCTGTGAATGGGT